TAATATTCACTCCTTATAACTCCTAACATGTACCAAATTCATAACACTAACTATTTAAAGAAAAGCATGTTGGTCCACCCTACTGCACAGACTAACTTATCTCTGCCAACATGAATCATAATAGTCAGTCTTTCTTGCACACACACATTTCATAATATCATATTATTTAAAGCAGTTATAATATGCTCAACATCACATTCTATATGTAAGACATGTATGTATAAAAAAATATGGAGATCCATAATACGCAATAATATGATTAATCCGTATGCATCAATTAAAATAATATTTGCATGTTAAACATGTATGCCATAATGTTATGCCAATATTTGATAAAACATATATCTTTAATTACATTTTTATAAAATTTTATATAACTCAAATAAGAAGTTTTGTCTCAAATCAATGAAATGTGTTGTGAAAATTCAATATGTATATACCAAAATATGCAGATAGCAAGAGCAATAGAATATTAAAAAGTTACACAATGAATGAAAGTTTCCAAAATAACATCATATCAACAAATTTTGCAATTATTTAATGACAAAAACATTAGAAAATATGTAAAGTGCTAAAATCAATGAAATTACAGATAGAGTAATGGTAACCTGCCTTGATTCAGTCAATTGTCCCAGTTGGCTTGTCGCACAAAAATCGAGTTGCAGCCTCCAAAAATCTTTCTCAATTTTCATTCTATTTCTCCCTCTCACTTATTTTGCCTTTATGCTCTCACTGTTTTGGATTAGCAATGCTATGGGAAGTTTCTGGACAAAGCCACTTAAATGAATTTTATATAAAAAATATACCAAACACATATATATAATTATCCAATTTAGTTGAATTCAATTGCAAACTATACATAAACATCTTATATCTTTTAATCAGCAGCCCCAAAAATTATGAAAAAAATAGTCATAAGATAGGTTATCATGTCTTGAATACTCCAGTGAAAAGAGTTTGAAAAGTGAATGCCAAATGACTCGAAAATATGAAAAAGTTGTATCATTAATCTTATATTATTATATTTAAATTTATCCTAAAAATATGAAAAAGTTGTAGCAATTAAATTTCATCATTTTCTATATTTTGGTGAATATGGTTTGTTAATCGGACTTACCACGGAGTCATAAAAATCATTTCAAGTTTATAGGTCAAAATTTTCTTTTATATACTTTCTAACAATGTTTTTATTAACCAATCATTTTGAAAATGATTAAGACCAAAATAACATAAAAATGCATCTTAGTGGATACTAGAACATCTACTAACAAAGTACAAACTCAAGTGTTGTGAGTGATTTTCATATGTAATAACCTTGGATATTACATTGAGCATTTGTATTATTTTGTTTTACTCTTTTTTTTCGCACAAATTTATCTCTAACCTGGCATCATAGCTCGATCTACCAGCTCTTTAGGTAATACACTTGATAGTAGAGAAACTCATTCGAATATCTTCTCGAAGTATGTGGTTGATCTTTTGATCCTCATATCAGTCAATCAAAGGGAAAATTCTGATGATTCTGGCAAACTGCTCTCATAGTCTCGAACAATTTTTGTTCCTTACTCTTGCTTTCTCAAGCCGTTTATCAACTTGAAATGACATGTCTTAAAAAAGTACCGCTACATGAATCGTCTCTTGAAATTCGTCCATGAGTTTACTCCATCAATTTTGAAAGTGTTGTGGCATTGAATTTCCTACCAATCATCAACTCCTTTGTGCAATTGAAATATAACAATGTCCACCTTGCGATTTTCATGCCACTTAATCCCACGAAGTCTCTTTTTTACATCATGAAGCAACACGCCTCACTTGATCAAACCCATTGTGTCATTGAAGGAAGGAGGGCGCATCTTCAGAAACTGGCCCTTCAATTGATTCATCACACTTTCATTGGCCATCACTACTAATTGGTTAGGTTGAGCATCCATGATAGCAACAGGAGTCATAGTTTGAGCTTCTTGCAGTGTCGATTAAGCGGGTTATTGCGTTGTTTGAAACACCCATGCAATTTGAGCTGTTATAATAACTTGTTGTGCTTTGGTAACGTTTCATGTTATCATCTCCACAAGAGCTTTCATGTTAAATGATGATGCTCTGGTAGCATCAACAAGTTGAGCAGAATAAACACAACAACAATTAGGGGACTGAGGACAGGTACCACTAATATAATAGCTCTCGGAGCTTCTGTTATGCGTGCGATTGTGATGCCTTTTCACTTGGGAGTCATTATAAATGGTTGAAATTTACACACAATTAATAATTGACTAAATAAGCAACTAACATGAATATTATATTCCCTCACCAGTCACAATAAGAAAATTGATATGAAGTGCAAAGGCAAGAGATGCTGAATACCAAACATAATCTCTCATACCACTTTGTCACACCTCACATTTGGAAGATGGTACACCCAAGAATGCAAGGTGTGATGAAAATGATTGAATATGTTTTGGAGTCTCAGAAGAAAAAGGACATACACTTAATAATTGAATGAAATAAGGAAAATTGGGTTTTGTTCCCTAAATAAGAGTTTAGTTGATACACGGAGAGGAAGAAAAAACTTAAAAGAAACTAATATGAAAATTAGAGAACAACTATCAACACCTAGAGAGAAAAATATAATAATTAATTTAAATTTGATAATACCAAAAGCAAATCTAAACTTAAGAAATCTGCTTCAGTAGAGAAGATCTAGTAAATGACTGGGTGAAACTGTTATGAAATATATTAACATGTAGGTTTAACAAATCAAACTCAATAAATAACAAATATTCATTAAAACATAAATAATAATGAAATTATGACGACCAATATGAACAATATATATGAAAGATTTACTATATGTGTAACAAAATTTACAAACTATCATATGTTGATGACCATGAATACGAGTAATCTAACCAATGCACTTCAATGTAAGAATTTAAATGTCATGATATCATGTGTTTTTGAAAAAAAATGATAAATCATTTATCACCACCAACAATAATCAATTTTAGTGCGTGTATATATATTTTTATATTATAAATATCAAGTTTACTTCGACACCCTAAAAAAATGAAATGTAATTACCTATCTCACGAAATTCAATTGATGTTTATGATGACTTGTCGGTTTGGTAAGTTAAAACAAAAGTGTTTAATACAAGCATAATAATATTACTATCAGTTATATTTCATGCATCACATTCAAAACATATGAATACACGTACAAATGTCCAACCATTTTTATAACAAATTATGAAATTGTAATAATGAGAATAATTAAATCTGAATCTATGCAACATTAAAACAAGACTAATCACACAAAAAAATCAACGTGAACAAAAAAAGAAATAAATTGTAATTATATTAATGAATTTAAATGGTATGGACGACAAACCTACAATTAGTTAGAAATCTATACAATTAACAATGTTAACACATAACTATTAATCATCTATTTATCCCATTATAAAGAGCATTTATTTACCTCACGACAAACATTAACTACAAATTTATTAGCTTAACCTTCATTGACTAACAAATCATATAAAATCAAATTTAGATGTGGGGACAGACGTGAAATTAACACTATTCTAACCTAATGAGATTTTGAAGCACAATAAATCTAATTGATTTTAAATTTTGATAATAATAATATTATTGAAAAAAACATGAGCAGAAAGCAAGGAAGAGTAAGCTCATAGTAGGTCTTGACTAGGATAAGTATTTGATCATTAGAAGGGGCAGATGGTTGCAATGTTGTGAGAAGATGGGAGGTGGCAACCACCTCAACCTCGGGAAGTAGGTGAGAGGTTTGATTGGTGAGATCTAGCACCATCAACAAAGGAAGGCAAGCTAAGCCCTAAGCCTTAACCTCTTTAAATTATGAAGCAAGAAAGAGAATGAGAAGAAGGAATCAGCTCTCGCTAGATGTTATCAAGCAAGGCAAGAAGAGGAAAGGGCTCTGAATAGGGTTTGAGAGGATAGAGATTACAATGGCTGTGAAGGGGAGGGCTATTGCGAACTGACTCCTACCCTCTTTACATTGAGGTGAGAGGAAATAACGAACGAGAGAAAAAAAAAAGGCAAGAGGGTTGCTTTCTAACTTAGAAAGTGACAATGATAGCAAAAGGAAAGAAAAGAGAAGATTTTAAGAAATTGATACAATCTAGAACCATAAATAAAGACAAATAGGGAAGTTCCTGCAAATCATGAAGAAAGGAAATTTAAATCTTACGTTGGCACATATATTTTTGCAAACAATAGTAATCACGTTAAACCCAAGGGGGTCTTTGATAGGATACTTTTAAGAAGATTTAAGTAATATTTAACATAAATTCAGTCAAACAAAATAAATATGTTAGATAAATCTGCCCATTTAATTTAAGTCTAATTATTATTTGTTTTGTTTATTAAGGGTGTGTTTGAAGTAGCTTGTGCGTTTCAAGATAAGGATAAGCAGCTTATCTTGAAACGCGACGTTTAGTGTAAAAATTAAATCGCGTTTTCGGATAATCGGTCAAAACGCGCGCTTTAAATAGTACCGCGGCGTTTTCAAAAACTCCCCCACACTTATAAGCTGCCCCAAACGGGGAAAATATTTGCGTATATAAGACATACGCAGCGTTGCGTACGTTAGGGGTTATTCAGGGGGGTTATATCCGGGTTATACCACCTGTAACCTTCGTATAACTCCCTTGTAACCTCTGTGTAACTTATTTGTACCAATGAAATTACAGAAGCACAAAACTCATTTGTAAGTTACAGGTAGTTTACAAAGAGGTTACACGAGGTTACGGAGGGGTGATATAACCCCTAGGGGTATAACACCGATATAACCCCCTTTACCCCCTGAATAACCCCTGGATATACGCAACGCTGCGTATGTCTTATGTACACAAATATTTTCCCCTAAATGGGCCCTAAATTTAAATTTACCATAATCACTTATAAGTTTAATTTAATAATTTAAGAGAGAAAAAAAATAAATTTAACAGCTAAATACTGGCCTGCATCGAACGGCTCAAGGTGAGCGAACTAACCCCTTCCATTCCTCACATCTTCAAAACCCTAACGAGGACGCTTTGCACGACGAAGGGGCGAAAAGTAGCGGTTATCGGCAGGAATACGACCGGCACGCCTCCGAATGAATTAGGGTGCGGCATTCTTTCCAACTCTCGATCGGTTGCTTGCGTCACTTCTTATCTCTCCACCGAGCTAAGGTTACGTTCGGCGATTCCGCCTCTTGTTTTGGGTCTCTTATCCTTTTTCATTGAGTTCGGATATGATATTCATGTTAATACCCGAGAATTTACAATGGCGTTTCATAAATCTGGGGATTCGCTTTTCTGGGTATATATTTTTTTTATGCTATATGCTAGGCTTGTCTGTCATCAGTGTGATACAGGTTTAATTTTCTTGCATGAGCTTATCAAGTTGAGCTTCTTGGGATTGGTTTCGTTTGCATCAAGAAAAAGTGGCAACTGGATTTTACTGAGTTTGCCCTTTTGCGGAGACTAGCTATTGATTTAGGGTAGTGGTAGCATTCCAAATATAAATTTTTTTCTCAATTATTGTTTTTGTCTGTTGGTAAGTGTTTCTATTCACCAAAATCAAATGGCTGTGTGGCAATGGATTTCGAGAGGGATTTAAGCTAAAGTCATTTTGGACGAAATGAAAGTGCAGATTTGATAAATCAGGATTATTCGGATTTCAGCTGTAAATCCCATAAATCCTAAATCCCGCGAATCGATTTACAGAATTTACGGGATTTACAGGGAGTGCATAGGGGATCGGGGTGGATTTATGCTGAAGTTTTCTAACAATTTAACGGATTCACTGGATTTAAGAAATTTTATTGCCATGAGGTTTTCCATCCAAGATTTATTAAATCCTGATTTACAAGATTTACTAAATTCTAATAACTTAAATCGCATCTGTTGCTAGACAACCCAAAGTTTGGAAAACCCAAAACCTTTTTTATGCACTGCTGTATAATTGGTAAACTAAACTGAAAATCATCTTGACGGAAATATGGGGGCTGCTTTACTCACCTTTGTTTGGAGTATTAAGCTATCTGGGTTGCCGTGTTATAGAAATGGTCAATCAAACGAATTACTTGTATCCCATAAACTCTAAAGAGGGGTATGTTTTAAATTTTGCAGTGCTGTTTTATAATGATCAGGGATTCCAGGCATTGTCTATATCTCCGTTAGTTATGTTTCTATCAATATTTCTTCGGTCTAGGTTTTGGCCAATCACTATATACTATCTATCTTAAGGTTTTTTTGGTTCAATATTCTCTGATTTCAGTGTCTTCATTGTTATAATCTATGAAGATGGAGGTGTTATCTTGAATGATGGATGATTCTTGGATTTTCATTTTCTCAATTGTTTCATCATCTAGGTATCTTTTAATTTTGATTCAAGAAAATTTGGCTCGTATATAGATACAAATTTCTTGAGTTGAATTAACTTTAGTCATGGAAACTCAAGACATCGACCAACCTGTGAAGTGTCATTTGTTATTAGAACAGCTTATCACTCAAAATATGAGTAGTCAAACAATGAAATTTTATGCTGTAATTGACCCTTACTACTTGTTAGTTGGGGCATGTTCTCACAAGACTAATGGACTTATCCTGTGGAACAGAGATGCAAACTTAGAATTAACTATTTTTCATTATGTTTAATGGCATAATAGGCCCTTCTACAAACCATTCGTTGTCCTAATGGATATTTTTATTTTATTTTTTGGATGCATAGGAACAAGAGGTAGGAAAAGAAAACTTTTAAGAGATACTGAAAATGCTCCTTTATCTAACTTTAGAGAAAATATTGATAGAAGTAATGCAAGTGGAGATTTTGATGAGGTTTCACAACCAGTGTGGGAGGGGTGATGATGAAGTTGATGTGTGCTTTTGAGAGGGGATGTGGTGGGAGGTGGGAGGGCTGGAGGATTGTAGGTTAAGTGTGGTGCATTCTTAGTAATTTTGTTTCACCCCTAATGGAATTGGTGACAGATTAGAGGAGAATGCTTTTAGTAGTCTTTCATTTATTACATTTTCTTTTAAATATATTTCTGTTTCAATAATGAAAATTTAACTATGTTATGTTGTACTTTCCATATACCAAATAGGTCCATGTTGGGGCTGATATTTGGTCTTAAATTTTGCTGAACTAGAAATTTATGCAGCAAGAAACGGTAAAAAGTAGGTTAATCATTTTGCTATGTCAACACTCATATAGGATGGTCAAAGATCTCACATAACTTTTTGTTATTTAGTTAGGTCTTTATAATGTTTTGGTTTTTTTAATGTATGGAGTGGATGAGATCGTTTTTGAAGGAATTTGATTTCTTGGTTGATCATTTTGAAGGAATCAGCCATTTGATAAGTAATCAGAATTAATTATAAATTACCTCTGAGACACACGATGACAAGTTGATTCAATTCAAATTGTTTTGCTAGGTTTTTTTTAAATGTTGATTCAATCAAAGTACCTTCTAAAAAAAATCACCCAAATGAAATGTTAACTGAAGTGTCTTTATAATCACAATCATGTGCATTATTTTTATAATCACAATCATGTGCATTATTTCTCAATAAAAACACCCACCTGATGGAATACTATTTGGCAGGTTGAAGCTAAACTATGCACCTCTAGATTCGTATGTTAACATCCAAGGTTCTCATGAGTAGATGTATTTTGATTCAATCTTTTTGGAGTTGGCTTAACTTGTTTTTGTTGAAGTTTTTTATATTTTATAGTAGTAATTTAGTTTTTTAATAATTTTTGGCATTGTTCAAAGGATGCAAGTATGGTGAGAGGTCATGTTACAAAAAGTATGACAGCGAAGTTTTTTATTTTTATTAGAGAAACTACCTGCAAATACTTTTTTTTTAAATGCAAAAGTAAGCTCACTATATCAATCCCTCTTAATACATAGGTGAAAAACAAAAATGTAGTTTAACTTTTTTATATTTTATAGTAGTAATTTAGTTTTTAAAAAAATATGATAATTTTTGGCATTGTTCAAAGGATGCAAGTATGGGTGTTAAAAAAAAACTATTCAATTTATAACATTTCATGATAGTTTACAAAAGAATCTGAAAGGATCTGGCAAGTAAAACGTTTTTTGTTTAAATGAATGCAATTTCCATTGAAAAAGTTTAATAAATTAGCATGAATTGAAGGTTCATATGAATAGAAGCAAGATATTCAAAGCTGTTATTCTTGGTATGTTAATCGTGCTGTTGAATCTTTTTGGGACTTACAGCTCTGTATTGTCTGTGATTGCATAAAACTTGGTAAAAGACCTCAAATTGTGGGAAGAGTGCCATAAGGAGAAAGTGAGATTGAAGAGATCCTTGTAGGGAACCTTGGTGAATATTTAATTTCCAATCTCCGATAAGCCGAAGGAGGGTGTGGCTCCTCGGAGGCTTCTTCAATTCACAGTTTTTTAGAGGAGAGTGAAAGAGATTGAAAGAGGGAGATTTTAGGAAAAAGAACCAGAGCCTCTTAGGAAAGAGTAAAGGACGAAAAAGATCACACTTTTCACTTATTGTCTAGTTTATACATGAGATGGAAAGATTATAAAATTATGTAAGCAGTACAACAAGAACTGTACTGTTGACTCTTCTCTGATGTTTCGATTGAAGATCAATATCATGAATATGAGGTATAGCAGACTAATTTTAGATAATGCTCGTACACGACGGTTCCTTATCCCTGGGTGATGAGACCGATTCCCAGTATCGGGCGACGTCGTTAAATGAGAGATTGGTCGATGACCTGTTTGATCGTGATGGCTTTGTCAAATTGCTGCGTTCGCAGAGATAGCGATAGGTTTAAGTCATCTTCTTGAGGAAGACAACGATGAGCTGGCTAGCCATTGCATCAAGTGAGTTTGATTCAATAAGTTTGACAGATGGGAACGATTCAACCAATTTGGTGGGTGGGCTCGATTCTATGAGATAAAATAAATTAAAATTTCTTTATACCCGTGTTTGTGTATACACACGCAAAGACCTCTCATACACAAGATTTATGTTTCAATGCTTCAAATGACTATGATAACGATCATCTTTTCTTTAAAAAAAAAAAATCAAAGGGTAGATTTGTAAACCCCCAAACATGATGTTTGCTGAACATTTGTTATGCTTAGCCATTTTGATTGTATAGAATAAAGTAGTTTTGATGCAAGGAACTGCTTATGGGCAAGCCTTGGCGCTTTAATGAACAATATACCACAACACTTATTTCAAGCTTGGCAGTAATTTTTGGTCTAAGAATATTTTTATTTCACACTGTCCTGTCTTAAGAATTTCTACAGCAGTGTATTTTGACATCATTCAAGCTTTCCTCTCTTAACTATTATTTTACTAAAAAAATATTTAGTTTAAATTTAGCTATGCCTTTTTCACCTATGTCAAATGAGTTTGTTAAGCTGCTAGATTTGGGTATCGTGAGGGCATTAATGATGCATAGACCATGTTAACAAGTGAAGTTCTAACTTTTTTACTTATTTTTTTCTCATTCTCGAGGGGTTAGATGGGGACAAAGATAATGTAATCAAAGTGTAAAAAGAAGATTGTCTAAAGAAGATTAGATAGGGAGGCAATATCAAAAGAAGATTAGTGATTTTGCTCGATTGGTTAGATAGGGCGGCAAGATAAAAAAAAAATAGTGCTTTTGCTAGATTGGTTGAAAAAAAGTGGCTATGGCAAAAGAAGATTAATGCTGCAATGACCTTAAAGAGGATTTTATTTTGTACTGGCTATGGTTGTTGGGAAGGAGGTGGTGTTTGAAATTGTAAATTTATGTATACAAATGCTTACTGAAATGATTAAGGAAATGATTGTGTGCGAGATGGATTGGAGGAGATAAGGGTTATTATTGTGTGGTGTGGAAGAGAGATGGGTGCCAGGATGGAATTAGCATGGTTGGAAGATTCAAGGAGAATTATGGTTGGCATGTAGAGGTAAAGTAAGGGACTGATGAATGAAGAGTGAGGGGTAAGATGAATTCCTAGACTGGATGTGAGAGGCGGGAGAGTGAGAGGGAGGGATTGATGGGTAGTGAAAGTAAGGTGGTCTTGAATACCTGTTTGTGGCACACACACACACACACACACACACACACACAGGGAGGGAGGGAGGGAGGGAGAGGTTTTTGAAGTTTTAAATTTATGTATACAAATGTTTACTGAAATGATTAGGAGAGAGGGAGAGAGAGAGAGAGAGAGAGAGAGAGAGAGAGAGAGAGGGAGAGAAAGAGTTTTTGAAGTTGATTGTATGTGAGATAGTTTGGAGGAGAGAAGGGATATTTTGTATACAAATGTTTACTGAAATGATCAGGCAAATGATTGTGTGTGAGATTGATTGGAGTAGAGAAGGGAGTTTAATGTGTGGTGTGGAAGAGAGATGGGAGCCAGAGATGGAATTAGCAAGGTTGGAAGATTCAAGGAGAATTATGGTTGCAATTGGCATGTAGAGGTAAAGGAAGGGACTGATGAATGAAGAGATGAGGGGTAAGATGAATACCTAAACTGGAAGTGAGAGAACGGGAGAGTGAGAGGGAGGTATTGATGGGTAGTGAGAGTACAGTTGTATTGAATACCTGCATGAGAGAGAGAGAGAGAGAGAGAGAGAGAGAGAGAGAAGGGAGGTTCGGTGAATATTAAGTATGATTTTTCTAAGGTTTATTAAGGCCAATAATTATATACAGCTTTGAAAGTGTACATTAGGTGACGCAGTATGTTTTCCTTTTTGTAAATTGCTAAAATACCACTATTCCAACAAGCACTTGCATATGATTATGATTGTTAAAGGAAGTGATATATTACATTGTTAATTTCTGGGACAAAGATAATGTAATCACCTTCTAAATCTATATTATTGGCTTTGCAGTTAATTTTTACTGTTGCTTCTTGAGTGTTTACTGTGATGGCCAGCAATCCACAAGCTTCTGGGCCACAGGTTGGTTGTACATTCGTAATTTTGGAGTACTGTTCTTAATTTATTGATTTGTTATAAATATTGAAATATGTATGAGAGTATGAGTTTTTGTTTATTATAGTTTTCTTAATAAGATTTTTGTGTATAATTTTTTTAATTTGAAGCCTATAAGGCCATCTGTCGTAGTATCTGCTGGTCCCCCTCAAAATTTTGGTCCCCCAATGCCCATGCAGGTTAGATCTTTTTTCTAGAGTTTGAGGTTCTTGTTTATACTTAAAATGAAGTAATTTTCCTTAAATTATTTTCTTTTAATGATGCAGTTTAGACCTGTTGCTCCACCTTCTCAACAACCTCTTCAGTTCAATCCGGCAAGTGCCCAACAATTTAGGCCAAATGTTGGAATTTCCGGTCAAACTCAGGTATCACACTTTTCCAGACCCTCATAAAATTTGTCACCTGTGTTAAGTGCAATCAGGCCATAGTGCATCTTTATTGTAGGCGATTCCAATGCCGTACCTTCAACAAAATAGGCCCATCACAGCTGGTGCACTTCAGACTCCACAAAGCATGCAGTTGCCAAATAATATTGTGCCTAATCTAGGTGGAGTTGGGATACCTCTTTCTTCCTCATACACGGTAATTTTATACATTTTGCCTTTTTTTTTCTAATGAATCAGAGAAGTTTCCCTTTTTTTTTGTTTTGCTTGATTTTCATTGTTATTGCTGTAGTTTGCAACATCTTACGGACAACCGCTGAATAGTATGAATGCCTCTTCGCAGTATCAACCAATGATCCATTTGCATGCGCCTGTTGCACCAGCTGGTGGACCTTCTTGGAATGCATCTGGGGCTCAAACCTTACCTTCTGTAACACCCTTGATGCAACCCACACAACAACCTACCATTATAGGCTCTTCTGTAGTGGTGAGAATATTCTTAGTTTTTGCACGTTCGTGTTAAATATAGTGTCTATTTGGGATTTTTTTTTTTGTTTGTAGTTTATTGTTTTCTTGGATTATGTTCTTACCTGAATGTCTTAAACCAAAAATATATGAGAGAGAGAGAGAGAGAGAGAGAGAGAGAGAGAGAGAGAGAGAGAGGGCGTCCTAGCAAACAGGCAGCAGGGGAGTGTCTTTATTTTTAGAAAAATATTATTAAAAATATTGAAAGCAGTCTATTTTTACAGTAAAAAAAATCAACTTATTTAATTAAAAAGCAAAACTAATTAAGCAAACAAGTGCTGTTATTTTTTGTTTTTTTTAAACAAAAAAAAAACCCCTAACAAGACCATAATGTCAGATATCGTTTTTCTCTTAGCTATTGTATGCAATTTAAACTATAACGTTAATAGCAGTTTTACAAATAATGCAGGGTACAAATGTACAACCTGGTCCGGCTGAGCAGGTAACATCTGATTGGCAGGAACATACTGCTGCAGATGGAAAAAGGTGTTTTCTAGCAGCTCATTTTTAGTTTTCTATTCGAGGCATTCTAAAAGACTTCTTACTTTTAATTATGCTATGTCTATTTGATTCATACCTTCTCTCGAACGACGTCATTTAGTTTACTGTTGTGTTTTGTTATTTCTTTTGTTCAGATATTATTATAACAAAAAGACCAGACAGTCAAGTTGGGAGAAACCTTTTGAACTCATGACGCCTACTGAGGTGGGTTATATCATGGAATAAGTGCTTTTAAACTCTTTATTGTTTTGCTTATGTTGGTTTTTCACTACTCGCTTTAACTCAACTAAAAATACAGTTTTATAAGTCTCTTCTGTGAATGCTCTGTATTGTAGCTGAAACTAAATTAATCACCATTTTTCTATGATGAATTTATGCTATTTAATATTTTTTTATGCAATCTTCTGTTTTTTTGCTTGTTCGTCCACTGTCTGTAGAAGACTTCTTTACATATTTGGAGAGAAAATCAACTGCTTTATGCGACATTTTGAAGGTGGTATTCCACTTTTTTCAAGGGAGGAAATTGTTGCTATTTTCTTTTTTTTCATCATGGAGGGAATTTCTTTATTCACTGTTGCGAGCTAACAATTTGATGCCCATCATTTACTTCATTTTTGTATCTCTTTTGTCCATCCCAAATTGCTAGTTATCAGAAGGAGAAAAATATGCGAGGTTTATATTGCTATTATGTGAAGTGATGCCTACTCTTTTTTTTTTGGAAAGTATAGACTCTTTAATGAACAATGAATGTGATGTTTTAAGGGGCAGCATACGGTTCAAATGGAACAAAATGTAGTTTTTGGGAATAGGAGATAGATTCCGTGGAATTAAAAGATATATTTATGGTACATGTAAAATTCTAAGAATATAAATGACAGAAGTTCATGCAGATAGATTAATTTAAGAAAAACCATTGTGCTAAAGTTGTTGTTTAGTGTTAACAAACAAGCTTAGCACACATTTTAAAACTTTACAGTCTAAATCTGTGAACCTGGAATAAATTCATCTCTATATCAAGATTTCATGTCATGAAAAGCAAAACCAATAATTATGTGTTTGTGTTCGAGTAGTTTAAGCTATAGTATTCAATCAAGTTTTGAACCGGCCAAAATGTTTATTCATGATGAATGACATTTTCTTATATTGAATATTAGTGGTGAGGTTGGCAAAGAGATTTTGTGCTATGGGCATTTGATGAGAAGATTGAGGGTGGGAATGATGGGATCTGGCTGCATCGTGAAGGCATGGTTAGGATAGGTTTTATTGTGTTTTATTTTGATGTTTTGAATATATATATATATATATATATAATGATCATAGAATATGTAAATCCTTTTGTTGCTACGTGTAAATTCCCCCACTCCCTCGAAAGAAAAAGAAAATAAAGAAAAAAAATTATTCACCAAGTCAAAAGCAAAGCATGTAATCCCATTGCAACTGATGACAATATTACAAGACAAATTCCAATACAATGCTAAAACAAAAGACTTCACATTCTTGTAAAAAGAGTTCAGTTCAATTAAAGCCACAAAACTAGTTATTTGTCAGAAGAATGAAATATTGAGCCATTGCTGGCTGTTCACATTGTAGGAGATTTGATTAGCGTGTATGTGTGTTTTGAATGTTGTGATTTATGACATGTTTATAATGTGCTGTTAATCTTTATTGCATGGATAAGCTGACATTTCTGCAGATATGTTGCCTAGCGCCATTCAGTTTATTGTTTGAAAGGTTAAGATGCATAATGTTTTTTTTCTTTCAGCGAGCGCCATTTAGTTTATCACTAGAAAGGTTAAGATGCATAATGTTTTTTTTCTTTCAGTGTTTCTCATTTCTCTATACCATTTGTTCTTGTTATTACCAGCCTTTCTTTACTGTAGCAAATTTCTGCTGCTCATGTTTTTTTCCCTGTACTGCGTATTTCGTTCCTCAATTTGAGGTTCGTCTGATTCCTTCATCTTTTTTCAGAGGGCTGATGCATCTACAGAGTGGAAAGAATTCCAGACTCCAGATGGTCGGAAGTAAGGGCTTGCTTTTTATTATTTTACTACCTCCTTAATATATTGAAATACTTAAATTCAAAATGAGTTTAAAATTAAGAATTACAGGGCTTGCTTTTAATGTTTATTGTTTTATGGTTGATTTACTGAAGAAATGTTTGTTTTTTATTAACATGCTGTATATTCGGGTTATTGTCTATGATGCGTTTCACCTTGTTAACACCTTGCAGATATTACTATAACAAAGTGACAAAGCAGTCAAAATGGTCGATTCCTGAAGAACTCAAGGTGTTTTTTTTTCAAAGATATATTGCCAACTTATGTTTTATTTTTAAATTTATATGCTAGAATGTTTTAATTAGATCAGAATCTCAACCATGTTTATGGTAATTAAACTGAGAATTTTGATGATGCTTTACCAGCCATGTGTATGGTAAGAAGGCATATACTTTGGTCAAGGTAATGGAACTTGGAATTTAGATTATGGTTTATTGGGAAAGAGGGTAGTTTGGTGAGGATGGGCATTATAATTATTAAAGTTAGCTATGCAACCATATTTAGAGCCTATAGGGAGGAGGCTTTTAGGGAAGGTTTGAAAAAACTTAAATAGCTGTGGCGTTGTTTCTGTATGATACTGTGATGAGATAATTGATTATTAATTTATTATATAGCTATTGTTATTATTATTATTTTATTTTTGTAATTTTGCAGCTAGCCCGTGAGCAGGCAGAGAAGGGAGCGAATCAGCCAGCCCCTGCAGAACCTGCAGTTGCTTCTCTTGCGCCACCAGCTCAGAGTGCTATCGTTGAGATACCTTCTTCAACAACACAAAATGATTCGGCTCCTTTATCAAGAAGTGCAGTTGCAAGCCCAGTTTCTGCACCAGTCTCAAACCAAGCTGCTTTACCTCCTTCAGGATCATCATCTGTTGTTGATGCAACTGCTGGAACAGCTTCCAGTTCTTCCATGGGAACTGCTGCTCCAGTTTCTGTTTCTGATCTCAACAACCCTGCTTCCTCAGTGATAGCTTCTGTTTCTGGAAGCTCAGATATTCTTACTACTGCAGCAGATACAATGCTTGGGACTACGAAGAGCAATAACGAGGATTCATCTCTACCAAATCTTGTAAATGTTACAGATGGAGCATCTGTTCAGGACCTGGAAGAAGCAAAAAGAGGCATGCCTACTACTGTGAAAATAAATATTACTCCCTTGGAAGACAAATCAGTTGATGAGGAGCCTTTCATTTATGCTAATAAGCAGGAGGCTAAAAATGCCTTTAAATCATTGCTTGAATCGGCCAATGTTGAATCAGATTGGACTTGGGAGCAGGCTATGAGAGTCATCATAAATGATAGAAGATACGGTGCTCTAAAGACTCTGGGGGAGACCATTATGCAGTTTTATAATATTAATGTCATAGGATTATGAATGAAAAAAATTGTAAACATTCAGTACATGCAGAAAAGTTGCTCTAAATGATTTTTGAAGGATAAGTTTAACATCCTGGGTAGCAGATAGAAGGAACGACTGGAACTGTTGTGATGTGTGCCACTTTATATGCATATTAAATATACACATTCATATGTTGCATTCAAACATATGGTACCTGTTTTTAGTGTGTGCTTGTGCATGCTGTACGTAGTTTGGGTTGAATAGAACTGTACCACATTTATATTTCAGAGCCATTGTATTTGTAAAGATTGTTAGGTTCTACCTGAGCTAATGGCATGGAACCACTTGTCTGCACATTGGTTTCTTGCTTTTAGGACTTTTTATTGTTTCAGAGCCATTGTATTTGTAAAGATTGTTATGGTTCTACCTGAGCTAATGGCATGGAACCACTTGACTGCACATTGGTTTCTTGCTTTTAGGACTTTTTATTTTTCTTGAGTGTGGGAGTTAATTCATTGTTTTAAAGGAGCAACAAGGACATTTTGCTTTATGCATACACACCTTCGATATCTGGATATGCTTTAATCTTCTCCAACTGTTCTTATGAAACACTTTGCAGGATGTTTCTTTTGTAATATTTTATCTTTGGATGCTGGGTAATTTTGATGTTTTCACATTTACAGGAGCAATAACGAGGATTCATCTCTACCAAATCTTGTAAATTTTACAGATGGAGCATCTGTTCAGGACCTGGAGGTAATCTTACATAAAACATAATCTCTATGATCCTTAATTTATTAGTAGCTTGCTGCACTCTTCTACCGTGTTTTTCTTGGTAAATCTCTCCCTAACCAAACAGAATTGAAAGGTAAAGTTGTAATTGACCTGCTTGCTGAATGCTCTTGGTTGAATTAATTGAATAGACTACGTACAATATTTTTTGTTTTCCTTACATGTAAGTGAAATTTTTGTGTATGCTAATTTCAGCTGCTTGCTCAAGCAATTTCTGCAATTTGCTCATTATGTCTTCCATCATAACCCTACTTCGTCTTAGATGGGAACTAGAGTTCCTTTCTGGGATTATTATGGAGATGCTGAAATCTTGCTTAAGCTTTATGTTTGGTTGAATTTCTCAAAAAGAATATTGTAGTTCAGAATCTGAGTATTTTTCTTGTGCATTCTATAGGGTTAGTTGTCAATCTTTATGATGGTATGTTTTGAGGTTGGATCTTGCGTATGTTGTTTCAAGTTTTTTTACTTGTAGTAGCAACAGTTTTCTATGAAAGCTGTTGGGAGAGATTGGGATGATAACTGTCAAAATTTATTAGTTTGTAACCAAACAATATCTGAATATGTGTTGAATGTGTTGAGATATGCAAGCAAAGACATAGAAGTTATATGGGATTAAAATAATAATGCAACTGAAGGGGCAATGTATTGTCTGATTTTTTTTTTTGTCTGCAATATTTGGACATGCTAAGATTCCTCTTGTAAAATTTGCACTGCATTCTGTTGCACCGTGCCTACACTAAGGGCTATTTAGTCTTTTTTTCATTTATTATTGTTTAATATAAATAGGTCTAATTTGCTTAGGGTTAGGGTTATGCATGAGATTGATGTTGTGAGTCTTAGGTTTAGGGTTTGTGAGAGATTTCTTATCTCTTGTATTATAGGAATTGAGAGAGATTGATTCTCTTGAATTGTAGGTCTTTATCTATTATTTTATATCTTTATGGTTGTATTGTTGCTTTTGAGAAATCAAATATTTGCTTTGCCTTAATTACTGTGGGAAATAATGCTATTTCTATGAAGAATCCTATCACATTCATAGTAAATGGAGTTCATAGTGTTTCTTATTGGATTTCCATTTAATTTTAATTTAGAAGATTTACATGCTCACCACCCATTTTCTATGTTGCCTTTAAATACATACAACATAATTTTTCTGTATATATATATATCTAACACATAAACTTCCATATTTACATTCATAACACTCTAATCTTTATATCACATCAAGAATGCCACATCTATTAACTTCTAAAAAGTGAAGCACATCTTCTCATATATAGGTTCTTGAGACTTTTTGATTCCAAGTTTTGTCAAGGAAAATGTAATTAGTGACAAGATTCTTTTATTTTTCCGGTGATGTTTTAAGTTAAGCACAATGTGGCATTTATATTATTAAGTTTTTTGTCTCATCAATTTGCTTTTGAGAAGTGAACTAGTTGAGTCCTGAAACTAGTTTTAGGAGTTGGTTATGCTTGCTGTTTATGCACTCTTTGTTTTATATCATTCTTACTGCTGGAGAGGATTAAGAATCCACTAACTTACCTAGAGCATGTTTTATCATAGCGTGATTTGTTTTTGTTAGGAAGCAAAAAGAGGCATGCCTACTGCTGGGAAAATAAATATTACTCCCTTGGAAGACAAATCAGTTGATGAGGAGCCTTTTATTTATGCTAATAAGCAGGTGTGTCATTTTTGCTTGATCACTTTTTCTTGGCCTCGCTTATGATGATCAACTTTAATTTGGTGCAACAATTTGTTGCAGGAGGCTAAAAATGCCTTTAAATCATTGCTTGAATCGGCCAATGTTGAATCAGATTGGACTTGGGAGCAGGTTTTTCTATCAGCACTATTTATTGTAAATTTTGTATCTCCAGTTACGTTGATTGCTAACATTAAGTGAATTATAGGCTATGAGAGTCATCATAAATGATAAAAGATACGGTGCTCTAAAGACTCTGGGGGAGAGGAAACAGGCATTTAATGAGGTGTGCTTGTTATGACATTTCCTAAAAAAAATTCATTTGATTTTGATCTGTTAAAGTACCCAGGAATGTGTTTTGTTTCCTGGTTTTTCACTGAGAATAACTTCTCTATCTATGTTGCGCCATATTTGATTTATTCTATTTCTGTTTTATCTTAGTATTTGGGCCAAAGAAAAAAACAGGATGCTGAGGAGAGGCGGAATAGGCAGAAAAAGGTCCGGGAGGATTTTACGAAAATGTTAGAGGTACTATAATTTATGCTTGAGAGTCAGCTTTTTTCTATTTCTATGCTAAGTTATGTTTGTTTTTAGGGATGTAATGACCTCACTTCATCAACAAAATGGAGGTAAGAATATTAATTCTTTGCTTATTTTAGGTTTCTACCTTATATCTTGATATCCCTTCAATTCTTTTCTGTTTCAATTGGCTGCTTTTAATCTATATGATTGAAATTGTCTTTTTATTTTACTGTCACTGCAGCAAAGCCATAACCATGTTTGAAAATGATGAGCGCTTCAGTGCTGTTGACCGGCCTAGAGACCGTGAAGATCTGTTTGATAACTACCTTGTTGAACTTCAGAAGAAGGTTTCATTTTATTGGTTTAGATGTCTGCATATTGAAGATATTTTTATTTTCAGTTTCCTTGTTTCTATAATTATAATGACATTTTTGCTGTTATGTTGGATTGACTGAGAGACTTGTAATTGTTTGCCCTTTTAGATAATCTGTTTTGTTGTAAATTACAGTAAATTTTAATTGCGGCAGCATACATTCTATGTAATCTATTTGGTATTGTTTTTTAGATTATGTTATTGTTTTGTTCGTTCCAGTTGCGCTGAAGATCTTCTGGTATGGGGTAAAGTTTGGGTTACTTTAATTCTGTCAGTTTATTTTTGGACTTTTGCAATTACTGATGTAAAATCTTGAATTGCCATCTAATTAGCCTCTAATTAGCCTTGAAGTTAGCCTTGAAGTTGCTTTTGTGATGTTTATGGTTGAAAGTTGCAGCAGTCTTTAATTATGTAGCATAGGACTGTCTCAAGTTTTGCTTATTAGTTCATTTAGCTTGCCTCATGAACGATTTGTGAGCCCTGGTCGACTCATGAGTTAGCTTGACATAGTTTTGAACCTAATTGCATTTTTAATGATCTACTAACATAACATACCTCATGTGCTTGAGCGAACCTCCATGTATCCTGAATATAATGAGTTTGCATTGATTCTTTCACATACTTTCTACCTTCTATTCTGAGGTTATTTTACTTTTAAATTAAGATTCGTGTGTTCTACACAACTATTTATCCCATTGTCCAGCTCCCATATTTTGGGTAAATTTCATTCCAAGAATTTCTTGCATACTTCCTCTTAGGCTTTAAGGCTTAGCATAGTTCTTCTAAAGCATTTAATCTTACTGAGCATGGGTAATTGCTGAGTCTAATGTATTGTGTTAAATTTTCAACCTTTTTTTTTCTGCTACATATTTTTTATGTGCCTTAACTTCTAATTTGATAGCTTTGCTATTATGGAATGATACAGGAAAGGGCAAAGGCAGCTGAGGATCATAAGCATAATATAATTGAATATAGAGCTTTTCTGGATTCCTGCGACTTTATCAAGGTTCTGCAAGATGCCCGCTTATTTGGTAAACACGGCAACTTAGATATTGTTTTACCTTTTTTTACTATATACTTAGGCAAATACACAATGGAGGAAAGTGCAAGATCGTTTGGAGGATGATGAAAGATGTTCTCGACTAGAAAAAATTGACCGTCTTGAGATTTTTCAGGTTAGTCACCCTCGCCTTATTTGTTAGCTTTTTGGGTTCTTAACTTGGTGCTGCTTTGCAGGAGTACATTCAAGATCTAGAGAAGGAAGAAGAGGAGCAAAAGAAGATACAAAGGGTTCTTTGAATTTCTTAGCACCTTAATTTGCATGTTTTTTATGATATAGATATTCTTACAATGATAATTGCAGGAGCAATTACGACGACAAGAGCGAAAAAACCGAGATGCATTTCGCAAGTTGATGGAAGGTGATATTGCTGCAGGCGTTCTTACTGCTAAAACACACTGGCGGGATTATTGCATGAAGGTATTTTTGTCTATTTTGAGTTGTTTTATTTATTTCTTAGGCTCTTTAATTATTTTGTTGTGATGGCTTTTTTTTTTTTTATTAAGGTCAAGGATTCTGCACCCTACTTGGCAGTAGCATCAAACACTTCTGGTTCAACGCCAAAAGATCTATTTGAAGATGTTGCTGAGGAACTGGACAAGCAGGTACAGTTTTGCGTTTTGCAGGGCACGATTGTTGCATATTCTTTTTTCTTAACTTACGCATGCATGGCAGAGATGGTGCTTGTATGAGAGCACAATGGAGACGATTTAATCATTGCTTTGTTTAACATATAATCCTAAAATTTTGCTGATTTTAAAAACTAAATAGTATTATTTTTATTAGGATTGTAGCTCGTATTATTTGTAAATGCTTGTTTTTTCTATCTTAAAATTTGAGTTGTTCAATTTAAAAGATTAACAAGAATCGTATAGGAAGATGGATTCTTAATTAGCTGTTCAGTTTTGGTTAATGTATGGTTTTTTCTCGTTGAAAGCACAAATACTTCATTTGGGATCATATGTTTTTGTTTGGATGTTGCAAGGTGCATTATGGTATTCTGTAAAAAAAAATGTTGCAGGCATATGATATGAGTTTCTTCCGTGCTTCCATTAAAGTTTGTAAACTATAAACTAGATTGATTAAGTATGCCGAGATGGAACTTAACTCAAATTTTAGCATATTGCCTTCATTTTCTGGTATTAGTATTTTTTTTGTTCTGTTATTTGACTTCGACGTGGCTTGTGAATCAGGCGTATATGAGACTGTTAAGCTCAAATGGTTCTTACTGAGTTCATGCTTTTTGTCTTATGTTCAGCTTTAATTAAATTCTAATTGAGTTTGATTAGAAGGTTAATTTAGCATCGTTACCGCCTAATTCAATAGAATTCATACTTCTCATAAATTTTTGCTTAATTTAGTTTAGTTTGCTTCCACTCAGCTCACAAAAAACTACCTAGGTGATTCGTTAAAAAGCTATTAGCAGAAAAATATATAGTTTTTTTGAGCTATTCGTTGAACAAAAACAGAGATTTTGTGTTGATAAGTCAGCTTCTGTTAGTCTGTTTATCAGTTTATTTTGCTTCCTACACTTTGTAATTTGTGTAAATAGCTATGTATAATATGACAACAAACTGACAATGTTCAAATGAATATCAAATTGTACATTTTCAACATTAATTGACTTAACTTCTCAATATGCTTCTGGAAATAGAAAATCATGACATAGTCTTGTTAAACCGTGGCATGCTCGGCACATGGAAGTTTCCTTGTTTTATTGGCCACTTGAGAATTGCAATTCAATTGATGTCTTGTGCGATGGCATGCTCGGCACATGGAAGGTTCCTTGTTTTATGGGCCACTTGAGGATTGCAATTCAATTGATGTCTTGTACGTAGGGATGTAGGTAGTCATAGTATTTGGGTTTCTAGCAAATCTTTTTTGAGATGCCAAAATTATGTGAGGAGTCACTGGTTACAAACTTTTTAATGTTGTAACAGTTTTTTTTTTTTCCTTTCAATAACAATTTTATAATATGAAAGAAATTATTTTAAATGAAAAGCCTGTAAGCTTCTTTTAGAAATATGAATTAAAAATTGATAATTGAAGAAACTATGAAATGAGCTGAAAATTGCATTTTTCGAAAGCCAAATTTGTTGAAAACCTCTTAGAACTGGTCAAATTCTCAATTGATCATATAGTTAACCTAAAAAAAAAAAAAGCAGACATATCACTTCTAATGGATTTTTTTTTTGAAAAAAAAATAGTAAGTTTTATACATGCCTAAGACCTATATTTAAATTAAAGCCATACAGAAAAAAACCCCTGTTCAACCCTAAGAATAAAATGCGAGTTAGAGAAATCCGAATAAATATGAATTCACTCGCTCTATCTGAAGGGAGACTACTAACCTATGCAACTGAAGGAAGACAATGAGCTCACTCATAGTTATTGCCTTGAAGATTGCTAAGTTGACACAAATTATGACAAAATTGAAACAGCTCACTAAAGATGTAAAATATGGAAGGTCGTCATTGATGCAGAAGGATCGCAGTAAAAAATTGCATGTATGAGTACCAATTTCGTAGGCATACTTTTGTAGAGACTAGAGATATTGACTATTTACTCACATTTTACTTCAAACCATATCTGTGCTTTGAGCACTGGCTCTTTTGTTTTATTTCAGTCATTGTAATGCTTTTTTTGTGCTTAGATTGGATAAACTAGAACTTGTGTTGATGTAGTATGGATATCAAAATTGAGTCGAGTCTTTACTTAACCCAGCAAAGTCTGGCACTGGTTACCATTTGTTAAATTCATTCTGTTTTCGGTGATTTATATATGCACTTGAATAAGATGAGTTTTATTTTGTGAACTCTCATAAGGTTTTCATGCTGTGCTGTCATTTTTAAGAAGGTTAAATGTTCAACCAAAGTGAATTAGCTGTCACTTCTTTCTCCTGTTCTATTGACAGTTTCATGATGACAAGGCACTAATCAAAGAGGCTATGAAGACAGGAAAAGTAATTTTGTGAAATTCAAATTTTAACTATTTTTGTTTTAATTGAGAATCAGTTCCATTGTAAAACCATTTAATTATGCAGATTACTTTGACATCATCATGGACATTTGATAAGCTGAAGGCTTCTATATCAGATAACGATGCATTGAAAGGATTATCTGAGATGAACATAAAGGTTACTCTGCTGCTTTTATATATATATATATATATTACCCATTTGCTTGGATCTAACTTTGCTGCTGTTTATGTGTTATGCTTAAGACATGCCACCACTGATTTAGTGTGCTCGTTTCAGTCATTGGTTTAGGTGCTTTTCTTATTCTTGTTAGAATGGCTTTTACGACATTATCACATGCCAAACTTCTATGATGGATGCTTGATAAAACATTTTGTTTGATATGCCAATAGAAACATCCAAAATTGAAATAAAAATTCTTATTTGAAAAATTTTATTTGGTGAAGTGAGGTGGATATTAGCATTATTGTCTAAAAATGCCAAGATAGGCCATTATTTCATCTCGTTTGCTTTTTCACTCTACTGGTTTGTGCCTGTACAATGTCGAGCTTACACTATATGTGAAATTTTAATGGTGCTTCTAGGCAAATGCAAGTGATAAATTATTAGAGAGATAACGGGGAAGGAATCGTCATTTAAGAGATTATAATATAGAATTATGATAACATATTTAATAAATGCTAACTTGTAAAATGGTAAAATCTCTACAATAACATCTCTCAAGTTAATGCTTGTATATTATAAAATTTGAAGTTACTGCAAAAATTGGAGAAATAAAATTGTCCTAATGACTTTATAGAAATATCCCTCAATTATTCTTCACTGGAGGTATAAAGCTTGATGATCTCCTCTGATAGAATTCTTTGCTTGATGGAAAATCAAATTCAACGTATTTTGTTCCTTTGTGAGAAAAAGGATTGCGCAATGTGAATCACTGTATGATTATCACATAAATGAACCATGGCTTGAGCAATATGAAGTATCAGGTCAAATTTTGCCCTGGATATACAAGTTAAATAGGGTTGCTCGCAACTAGATGCACATCATTGCATAATTAGAGTGTGTATGACCTTTTATTCAGCTTGAATAGTAAGTTAACAAAAATAATATATATTTTTCTGCTCAATTGGGCATTCATTCTTGCAATGTACAATAATTGACATAGCTTTTTGATCTTAAACTAGTGCATTGTAGTCAACATTAAAGTAAGCTTAAAATTTTTAATGTGATAAATTATCATGTTCTTGGATACTTATCAATATATCATAAATTCTTGTCACGACATCCTTGTGTTGCTTAGTTGATGTTCAATATCTTACTACACCAGTCTGCACAAGCCTGCACAAGCTATAAAGGAAATGCTTGGTTGATTGAAAGTCTGCACAAGCTATAAAGGAAATGCTTGGTTGATTGATAGTTAGATATGTAAGTTGATCATCAAATGACAATTGTGATGAGTATCTTTGAAGCTTGTGTTATCATTAAGAGTCAACATAATATTTGTGGGACAGTCGGCAAAATATATATGGGAGAGTCGGCAGGTTTAAACTTGATAAGCTCAATTTCCTAAGGTAGGTTAATGGCATATTTTCTTTAGAAAAATCAAACCCTCATTATTTTTATAAGCAAACTTGATGTTAAGTAAGTATTTTGGATGTTCTAAATTTTAAGTAACAAATATTTTTTGAAGAAATCTATCTTCTCAATATTGAAAATATTTTTTTTTTAAGAATATCATCCACAGAGAACGCCATGATCATATCATAAGAGGATGATGTTGTTGAGCTTGAGCTCATTTATGAAAAATTTGTTTAATCTTCGGCTTGAGCTCGATTTAAGCTTTTGTGATATTGTTTAAGCTTGAGCTCGTTTGGCAAATGTTTGTTCTAGCTTTTTTAGAGCTTGAAATGAATTTGCTCATATTCTGATAATTGAGCTTTAAATGGGAAACTTGTTTGAAAAATAAGTGAGCTTTATCAAACTAAGCTTAACAATGAGATTTTAATTGAAGAAACTTCATAATTGAGTTTGAGCCTTATCGAATTGAACATCCTCATGATGCTCTAGGGATGCCTTCTTAAGCATGGATTCTTAATCAAACTTTATATTCTATCTTCATTTTCTTAACAAGCTTTTTCATTGGTTTCAAATAGTATCATTTATGGTAACAAACTTTAAGTAACAAGCTATTCAAGCTTTTGTTTATTTAATAACCAAGTATTAATAAAAGTTTTCAAGCTTATTTGATTGTTTTATCAAACGATTATGAATGATCTCTAATTAAGCTTGACATGAATAGCTTATCACATGCTGCATTCATTTCCAACCCTATGAATGGTGGATGTAGATTGTGGAGTGTTCAACTTAGGGACTTTGAAGGCCAAAAACTGCAAGGACTTTGTATAATGTATCTAAGCTACATGAGGACTTTGTTGAGGCCATAAATGGCTTTCCAAGTTTCATAGATTTGCTCTCCCACCTTGAGTATGATACCTACAAGATTGCTTTATATGAACTTTTTGGATAGTTCTTAGAAAAAAATATTAATGTAACACTACTACTAATTATATCTTTTGTGCGGAGATCCTAGAAACACAATGGAAAGTGGTACTTGAGCAATTTTAGGATGTGGTAAGAATATTTACAAATGACACTTTTGTAGACATGTGGAAATAAGATATAATAAGATATTATATGAAATTATTGAGGGTGTAAGGTGGATAGATTATTTTCTAGAAATAAGATATATATACTTCTTATCAACATTAGGAGGAGGGTCAATTTGCATTCAAAATTGATAGGTGGGAGTGTTTACCTACTATTAATCGTATTCTGTGTGCAAAGGTCCTAGAAATACTATTCCAAGTTTCAACTATTAATATTAAATTTTCTTTCCATTTGCGATGAATTATCGGAATATAAAATTCAAGACATACCATAATGAGTACTGATAGTAGTTCGAAGTGTCATAGTAGGCGATAGTATTTTTTGGGATGGGATATAAGCTCCAAAATGAGTAATGATAGAGTTAAGGTGATCATTTTTTTCTTGGTTTATGGAAAGTTTGAGAATTAGTATTGTTAGAATTAATGATTGTAGTGGTGACATGCTGAGTAGTTGGAAGATAACCAAAAATTTTAAAATAGCAATTGAATGAGTGATTGGTTTTCTTTTAGTGCTACTAATGTGGAAAGAAATTGTGACTATGATCATAACTTTCTTTTCAACCACCACAACCCTGATAATTAGATTTTCATTTTTGTTAGCAACATGAATGACTTATTAGAATTTGAAATTAATTGGAGCGCAAACTCAATGATATGAAGAATGCATGAAAGAAGTGTGAGGCTATTATGAATACTGAAGCTAATCATTAATTTAGCTTGAACAAATTGAAAAATGGGTGGAGACTATAAAGAAACTTAAGGTTTTTTTTTTGAAATAGTGGGATTAGTTATAAATGGGTGATAATTGAAGAAGTTGATCTCACTTTTATTCCAATGCTCTATGTGGATCTTGAAATATTTTTCATGGTGTTGTAAAGACAAAATGTTAAATAAAGGGTCTATATATTATATTTTTTTCTATCTTGGTGATGTTGGGCATCAATTGACGCGGTAGCATCCGTGTTCCAAATCTGGACTACACCGGTTTAGGTTTTGGGAGGGTTAGTCGGTCCTCTAACCTAGAGGATGTTGCCTCCCTTCAAGAGGGAGCCCACTTCTATTCATCTGAGGATATATATATTTGTTTCTGTTAGTTTAGGGTTTAGTTTTCATTTGTTATTTCGAGACAGCCGTCGGCATTTTCTTTTCCCTTATATGGTTGTATCTAATGGTTTAGTGGTCATCCGACTGTATCTTGTTCTCAAAGTGGTGTTTATTCTTCCTCTACCCTTACCCATCCTTTCCGCATCGCTCCCTATCACCCTCTCCTGCCACCGCCGCCAGAACAACAAGAATTTGCTATTTTTCTGCAGTTCCCCTCCCTCCAACCCTACTACTGCCCCACTACCGCTGCAGGTCGCTGTCCTCCTTCACCCACTCCCCTCCATATTTGCTGCCGCAACCCTGGACAGCATCCAAGCCGCATTCTCCATCTCCATTGCCGTTGCCACTTGCTTAAATCAGCCACCTGTGTTTTATTCCCCTCTCATTTTGTTGCCATCACCTTCCAACCTACCTAACCGACACTCCTCTGCCTTGGATCCACCCATATTTTGTGTCGAGTGTTTTGTTTGTTGCAATTTCAGATTTTCGTTTGTTTTGCTATAACTTTCTATTTGTATTTGAGCAATAATACTTGTTTTTCGTTAATGTATGGTGAACTCCATCACTTGAAAGTACATGAAAGGAAGAAAATCCCACATCTCTTTGGAGGCAACTTGGAACTTGACTAGGAAGCAAGCAATAGACTGAATATTGAGCATCCATCTTGAAAGCATTCAGCTTGTGGTTTAAATTTTTGTATTTCTTGATAGTGTTTGTTGGTTTATGTATTGTACATAGATGATGAAGTTTCTGACGAGATCCAATGAGAGACAAAAAAAATCCTAGGGCATGAGATTGTTAGCTTTAAGTGTTGTGCATAGATGAAAAGAAGAAAGATGTATTTCTTTTTTTTTTGAAGATTTTTTTTTGCTTGATTTTCTTAAACTTTTTTTCAACTTGATTGAAGCTCGTATTTGATGAACTTTTGGAGCGTCAGAAAGAGAGAGATGAGAAAGAAGCTAAAAAACGCCAACGTCTTATAGATGGTTTTTCTGACCTTCTTTATTCAATCAAGGTTTGAATTTACTTTTGTTTGGTTATTTGTACTGCATGAATTTGGAGAAGCATTATAACATTAGTTGATCGTATTCTTGTTTTCTAATTTTAGGATATAAATGCATCTTCAAATTGGGAGGAATTCAAATCACTTTTTGAAGACAGTCAAGAATACAGGTATCTTGTCCTGATGCCATGAAATATTTTTGCCGTCCCTTTCATTGTAGAGGTATTTTTATAAAGTCTGTTGGGTTCAGCTTGTTTTTTTCCTAATCATCTTTGGCCTACTCGTCTTTGCTAGACTTTTCATGTTAAACCTTTCCTCTGCACTAACTTTGGATTATCTTGACTTTATCTTTCAATTGCTCCAGATCTATTGGAGATGAGAGCTTTGCAAGGGAGATTTTTGAGGACTATGTTTCTCTTTTGCATGAGAAGGCAAAAGAAAAGGAGCGCAAAAGAGATGAGGAGAAGGTAATCAATTCATGGTCTTTTTTTTAGATTTTTGCTGCACGCTTCCATGGTTTCCTCTCTCTGTCCATTAAACATAAGTTTAATTAAAGCATTATACGACCCATTTGGGAAGATAATATGATAATTGGCCTATGCATTATATGACCCATTTGGGAAGATAATATGATAATTGGCCTATTTTTTTGTCAAGTGGGTTAACTTCATAGTCTGTAAATTTGTCTTTGAATATTGGAGAGTTAGGCTTGTACACCTTTGGTTTGTTTAAGGTTTGTTTGGAGTTGTGGAGTTGTTCTAGCTGTTTGTAAAAGCAGCTATGAAACTATTATGGGCATGCTAAATATTTTGAAAGCTGCTGTTGGTAGTATAAATTTTGTCTTTGAAAAGTATTGATGGTGTGCTTCCCACCATTATAAGTTTTTCAAGAAAATTATAGGCTAACACAACTATGACAGCTTTTTGGAAAGCAAACTAGTGAAAAAGTCATCCTAAATGTATTTTAGTGCCATGTAAATTAAACCCCTTATGTTGTTACTGAATCGCCTGCTTATTTAGTGATAGCGAGGGAGGGAAAGGGAGCTTCAGGTTCTAGCTTGATGGAACATTTAACACGAGATTATTTATTTTGGAAAAATAAGGTTTAAGGATAAAAAAGTAGATTTAGTTGATTTAATTATGATTTCATCTCAGACCAATAAAGATCTTGGTAACTGTCTGTTTCTATATGAAGTTCATTCTACATTTATGTGTCTTGTATTGATTAACAAATATGAATGGTTATATGCCATGCTTTTTGAAAATGCATGATTTTACATGTGCTACTGAAGTCGAGCTATAGCTCAATTTATCATTAGCTAATATATTGATTATTAGTTGCTTTGCTAGCATTCTACAGGGTAATTAGATGATTGGTTTGTGGAAAAGTAACATCTTCTTGTGTAGAATACTTTATTTTTACCCCCGTTTACATTTTCCACAGTTAAAATTTTTTACTTTGTTCTCTAGTCAACTAAACATCTTTTCGTTTTTACAATTAAGTCTATCTAAATGTATGTGGTTAGTATGAATATCTAATATGAGTTTATAAAATATATGATGGGTATTAAACATTTATTGACCCATGCATATATTATACGGATTTAGTTTAGAATTTTGAATAAAACAATGGATTTCTTACCTAGTTTTACAATTATGGAAATGATTTGTTATAATCAATTATATTGACATGTCAAAAAGAGACACGTGAATGATCCTTTTATGTAAATACTGGAGTTTGATACATAAAATACTCAATAGTGTATATTTGCAGTTTAAAATGTGTATTTTTCTTATGCGCTTTAAAAATATGGGAAACAAAAGTTTTCTTTTTTATGAAAATTGTGATCCATATTTGTAGTATACTGGTGTAATTCACACTATTGGTCATGTTAATCTAAGCATATGCTTTACTCATTTAGGTACATTCAGTTTGAAATAAGGTTTTTTGAGGTTTTAGCTCATTCAACACTTTACTGCCTCCATGTTCATGTTCCCCAGCCTATAAGACCCTGGTTGAATTTCCCTCCGAGCCCTTTCCCCCTAGCCATATTGATTTCAGCATTTATTTATTTTTCTATAATATTCAATTTGTATGAAAAGTTTTTCTTTGACTTTGCTCCATACAACACAACTTGCCTTTTTGTATCTGAACGAAATATGAGTTATTGACTGAACTGATCCCACTGAAGAAGAGTTTCTGCTGGTTGTATTTGACAAGTCTCACCTGTTTGAAGATCAAATCAGTATTACAAGCTCTGTCCTTTGGCTTGTGCAATATTTGGGTAAATTTATGCATTTTTTATACCTTCTTCCACAGGCTAAAAAAGAGAGAGAAAGAGAAGAGAAGGAAAAAAGGAGGGAGAAAGAGAGAAAGGAAAAAGAAAGAGAACGTGAAAAAGACAAAGTGAAGGAACGATCAAGAAGGGATGATTTAGAAAGTGAAATTGTTGATGTCACCAATAATCATGGAATGAAGGATAGAAAGCGGGAAAAAGACAAGGATAGGAAGCATAGAAAACATCATCACAGTGCAGGAGATGATGCAGGCTCTGAGAAAGATGAGAAGGAGGATTCTAAGAAGTCAAGAAGGCACAGCAGTGATAAGAGGAAATCTAGAAAGGTGATAGGTGTCTTGATTATATCTGGCTTTTTTCGATTTTCTTTTGTACTACAGCGAAGAATTTTGAAATTTATGTTCATTCTTTGCAGCATGGATATGGCACTGATTCAGACAGTGAAAACCGTCACAAGAGACATAAGAAAGATAGAGATGGATCCCGTAGAAATGGTGCCTATGAGGAACTCGAAGATGGGGAACTTGGAGAGGATGGAGAAATCCGTTAGGTTTCACCTTACAGACTTCATCTTTTAATTCTATTTGGTACTTTCTTTAATGTATAGACGAATAGCTTAAAGACCTTATTTCTTATAGTAGACATTATTTATGATATGCTGTTTCTCCCATTTATCGAACTCCCATCTTTTGTAAAACCTCTTGTACTACTATTTTTTAAAACCTCTTTCACTTGATTTCTTTTTTCTTTCTTTTTTTCTTTCCTTTTTTTTTTGTAGAACTTATTTTCATGACAAATGCAATGAGTAATTGTTAGTTTTCTGGTTTTCTGCCTCATATTCTACTGTTTCTTAAAATTTCATTTATTATGATGTCTCCATTTTGTGAATAAGCACAAGTGTTTGTTTGTCATTATCTTCTTGTAGCTAACTAGTGTAAATTTTTTGATGACCAGCCTCTGTGTTTTAACTGTATTTTGGATGGTCTTGTTATGCTGTTCTTGTTATGTGTAGATTTAATGGGGAATTTTTTCAGCTTTTTAGCAGAAGCCTCATAAACATTTCAGTTAATATTGCTCGATAAATATGTTGGCAGAAACCATCATGGCATCAGGTGAGGTGAAGCTGTGTATGAGTTCTCATTAATAACCAGGAAAGTTTTATAGTTGCTTGTTCTTTTAAATTATTTTGCTTTCTTCTAATGTTATTTTTATATTTTAAAAGATTTTATTTAATATGGAATAATGTCAGATTTTTTTTGAGCTCTTTTCTTGTCTCTTTATATAAATATGTTTTCTATTTTTGCCCTAGCAGATGAAACTGTTTATTTACATATTTTCATGACTGCACTGTATTATTCATTTTATAATTGTTTTGTTGATCTATATTATTTGCTTTCAATTAATTAAAAGTGTTTTATATTGTAGAACCATTGTCCAGCATTTTATATGACTTATCCCATCTATTTGGTGTCGTGTTTATGAATTCCAATTCTTCTTTTGCCTTTGCTTGGTACTACAAGTGGTATTAAGGTTATTTTATGTATATTTTCTCATGAAATTTTAATTCAATGTACCTTTGGTCCAATCCTTTTTTTATCCAATTCTTCAATTTTATTTTCTTGAAAAATTATCTTCATATCTTGTCAATGCATTTTCTGCCCTATTCTGTATGTTCTTTTACAACCTGTGTATTTCATATTTTCTTAGCTTCAATGTATGCAACTCTCCCCTCCCCTCCATTATAATCATTTTTTTACATCCTTCTTCATTACATTTATCTTAATATTCCATTTCTTTCACATTTAACTTCTCTATCAATGGCTTCCGCTTAACACCTATTCATTTGATATAGTTGGGTTAAATATATTATTAATTTTTTTTCTGAATTTTTATAATATATTTATGCTGAATAGTTTCCTGTATGGAAATTATTAATTTAACCACCCAATCTAATCTTGAGAATTCATAGTGTCATTTCTCTGTAATCATGCTTTTGTATAATAGATTTTCTAAAACTAAAACCTGTTACGCTTGAGTGACCTTAAAAAAAATACATATTATATCCTTAGTCTCCATCCGATTAGTCCCTTCCATGCCCCTTATTTCCTAGATTTCTCCATTTTTCTAACTTTCTGCTTTTTTAAGTTTTATCTATTTTAGAATTTACATATGCAAAAAGAAAGAAACCCACAGTCTGTATGTTGAATATCTTTTATAAACTTTTCGTTAATTTATACAATTTATCCATGATTTAAGCCTATCATGAAGGTCACTTAACAACTAATTCTTATGCTAATTATTTTGTCATTTCATATCTTTGGCACATTTAAGTATTTTGTAATGCACAACAAGTCAATTGTTGTATTGCTTCCGTATATGCCTAGTTATAATTTTTTAAAAAAATTCCGACACATTATTTTTTATTAATTGCTTTTGCTAAAACATTACATCCTTGATAATTATTTTTGGCATGAAACTAAATTCATTTTTGACTCTAATGTAATTCTTTCAAGCCTCGGTTTCATTATGCTCTCCTATATATTCATATTATGACTCATAAGTTTGATTGATGTATAATTATCATACTAGTGAACATCCACTATATTTTTATAGGGAAATTTATACATACCAGACGATTCATATTTTTGTGCATGCTTGATGCCCAAAGTTTGATATTTACACTTATGACACCTTGGTGTCCTAAACCTATGCATGAAAATGTGTATTTCACTTTTAAAAAGTAGTGATGGTAGTATTTTTGATGTGATGTTCAATATTCGAGTAATATGCATGTAAATATAAATGTATGTATGTTAGATATGTATATTCATGAGAATTGTGTGGTATGTTTGTAAAAGTCCCTTTTTAAATTTGGTGCTAAAATCCAATTTCTCTTGTTATTTGACTTTCTCTGTCTTTAAAATTCTATAAAATTATTATTTAATCAAATTTTTTTAAGATTATTCAGAACTCATAATCTTATTTGGTATTTTATGCAGACTAAAAGTTTTGCCATAGTGCATCTTCTTTAAAGTTGGTTATCCTAGTTATCTTTTGAATCATTTTATATCTCCTGATTCTTTTTATTATACTCTTTTGTAATTTTTCCCCCCTTAAACTCTAATTTAGGGCCCGTTTGGCGCAACTTATTTGTTGTGTTTAACTTGTGCCAAATTTGAAAATAAATAAAAAGCACCAAAATCTAATAAGTTATGTAATAAAAATTTGATCAAGAGAAAAATTTAGAACTAGCATTAGTACAAGGTGATTATTTTTTCATATTAGTCCCAAATTTTATATTAACTATTAATCTTCCCTACTATAATCATCCTGACTCCCTACTTGAGGATTTATTTTTGTTTGGATTTATTTACTTTGAAATTAGAAAATATTAATGTTTTTGTTAATATTTAACTTATGGAGGATTTACATACAATATGATTAAACTTTTATTTATTCACATATCTAAAATCATAGTTTTTTTTTTGTATGTCATCATAAGGCTTAATATGCATGAAAGGTGTATTGAACTAATAATTTAATATTTTTGGCTAAATTTTAATGGAATTTAAAGATTTGTGTGTTATATTATGTAAATACAAAGTTGTAGGTGTTGAATATTTGAATATGTAAAAATCAGTGGTATATATATGTTTAGATAGAAAGAAATTTAAATTCAAGTTGATTTAAGTTTATATTGTAAAGTTTATCCTAGAAAGAAATTGATAGTTTGAGTTTGATCAGTTGAGTAATATTTGAAAACTGTAAACTTTAGTTTATAAACATGTCTTTCTTTTTTGCTTTCTCAAGTTGGTCTTCTAATATCTGTTGATTTTCTCCTTCTGAAGTCATTTACATCAGAGCTAAGTGATCAGAGAGTTATATTTGTTTATTCTTTATTCTTATTGTAACCTCTTCCGATCGATCTCTTCCACGCAGTATCTTGCATGTACTTGGCTTAGATTTGCACATCCCCTGTCGTTCTACATGTGATTTGTCTACAAATATCCTATATCCTTTAAACCCTAAATGCTTTGCTTTCTTTTTCTTTCGTTCTCTCAATCATAATCCAAAGCTCTAATTAAATTTTGTTAAAATGCACTCACACTTTCAATTCCAATATGGGTGACCCATCATCTGATTCATTATAAAGCTAATTCTTTTTTTGACATGAACTAGTCCACATCAAATTCATTGGATTGATATGCCAAAATTTATATCAAAAGGTTTTCAGTTTTTTTTTTTTTGGATTTCATAACCAACGTGATGGAATTGTTTAGGATACATGGTTTATATGTGGAAGGCATATGACTAGCACAAAAGCACACTCATCGAGTTCTGAAGTTGCCAATATTTGTTTTTTGGAAGTAATTTTATTATTTTGTTGATATGTTTTCTTTGGTTCTTTTGCATAACCCTAGTGTATGCGAAGAAGATTTGGACATGAATTAGATTTGATTAAACATTATTGGACAAAATGTTACTTAAAAGCTTCTCGAAAACGAGGATGCACTTTTATAAATTAAAATGAAAGAACCATGCACATATATTTTATGTAATTGGAACACGACTAGTTATGTATTTTAAAGAAGTTTCAATAAAGCAGGGTAAATTCTTGACAAAAGATAATGAAATACAATTTTTTTATACTAAGGTTAGTAGGGTTTGATCCAATGCCCTTATTATTGGGTGTTGAGGTATGGAATACTAAGCCAAAGACCAATTCATGAAGTTGAGGATGTTTTCAATTATTTTTATTGATGTTATATGGTTTATACAAATTTTTTCCTGATATTTATATTCTTTAAATTTTGAAGTTTATTTTAACTTACCAAAACTACATATTTTTTAAATGGAAGGCTTGATGAACTCATTTTGCATGCACATTTTTTTTTAGAATAAGTGATGTAGGGTTAGAGCTGATGTCCTTATTATTGGGTTTTGCGGTTTGAACGCTAAGCCAAAGCCCAATTCATGAAACTGAGGTTGCTTTTGATTATTTTTATAGATTTTATATGGTTTATACTAATTTTTGCCAGCTTTTATATTCTTACCAAAACTGCATATTCATTAAATGAAGGTTTGAACTCATTTTGCGTCGTTGTCCAACATTATTTCTTAAAGCTACACAAACTCCTGTAGTTACCTTGTCTTTTTGTATCTTTATCTAGTCTTCGTGATTTGGTTTTAGTTGAGTGGGATTGTGAGCTAGATGTGAGTTAGAGCTTGACCAATGGACTTAATTGGAAATTTTTGTTATTCTTGAAGAGTTTCCAACAATTGTAGCTGCTTCCTGAAGCATATAGAAGAAGAATCACGCAGATTCCCAGCTTCCTCTATTTTTCTAGCTCTTACATAGGTTGGTTTTGTTTATCCACAATTACTATAGTTAGGTTATATTCAGTGAGAAAATGAGTTCTTGCAACTTTTGTTGCCTCCACATGTGGCTATGTAATCTTTTATGGGACTATTCTAAGCAAGCTATATCATGCATTGAAACATTGAAATCTATATTCATTATATATGTGCGGCATATTCAAAAGATTTTCATAAAGCAGTTCCTTCACGATCTTTATAACTAGTATTCCAAGACAAAAAAAAAAAAACTTTCGTATAATTCTTTAGGAGATATATTTTTTTTTTACGCTAGAGGATTTCTTAACATATTTAATTGCAAACTCACACACACTACATATGCAGGCACTGAAGCTAAGTCCCCTTGGTTCGAAGCATAAGATCCATGCCAATAGGCTAAGGTGGCTTGCTAGAAGATTTATTCTTTTTGGCAAAAAAATGGTTTTGGATTTATACCAGTTTTAGGTTTATTTTAATTAGAAGTTATAATAATTTATTCTTTTTGATAATATTTATTTGTTATTTGAATTATTTAGGATGTAATTAGATTTGCATCGAAATTTGTCTGGTATTTCTATACAAAAGGATATCCATGGTTTGTATTTGATTAATTAAATGATGAATTAAAGATTGAATTTTCTTATCTTCTTTTACTCCTTTTTCTCTTGTATGTACCCTATTGGTCAATTTTTCTCTCCTGCTATCTATTTCAAAACGTCAGGTATCAGTTCTGTATATATTTTTGATCTTTTTGGTT